TCCTGTCCGCGACATCAATTTTTTTTTCTGCGCACCAATTCCGCCTAGTACGACTTCTGGCCGCTACTCCCACCACACAGCAGTGTAGCGTGCATACTCCCAGCATCCTAGATCTTTGTACTTGCGTATACCCTTAAAATGATGTAGAATAACGACTGTTATGAGTGCATGGACCAATCATGACAGCTTTAACCATACTAACCAGCGTCACCAGCTCCATGTTAACCATTTTAACCAACTCCAAAGACTTTTACCATCTTAACCAGCTGAGGACAGTGTGGAAACGTGAGATGGGGCCTTCTAGGGGGGCGGGCTGGGGACAGAGTGGGAAAGTGAGACAGGGCCTTCTGGGGGGGCGGGCTGGGGACAGTGTGGGAAAGTGAGACAGGGCCTTCTGGGGGGNAAAGTGAGACAGGGCCTTCTGGGGGGAGGAGCTGGGGACAGTGTGGGAAAGTGAGACAGGGCCTTCTGGGGGGAGGAGCTGGGGACAGTGTGGGACAGCAAGGCTAGGGGCGTAGTTGTGTCTCAGGTGTGTGATTTGGGAGCAGATCGTGGAAATGAACCAGTTCAGTTCGACATATTTCCGTATAGTTAACATTAACAGGCAGACACCAAAGTAATTAGTGTCACAGGAAAACATGTCAGTGGAGAAGGAAGCGGCCCCCTGCAGCTGGCATGGGGTCACGGTCATTGCATGCGGGCCAGACCCCGCCCTCCCGCGTCTCCTTGCTGGGGAGATGTGGGGCTGGGTGCTCCACCTTCACCTCCACCCACTCAGCCATGAAGTTCAGGCTCACGCTGAACCAGAGCAGTCAGCTGGCAGTGAGGGCGTCCAGGTGGGTCACATCCAGGGAAGGAGCCCTCGCCCCGCGCCATGAGGCATCTGCTTATAGACCGACACCCCCACCCACAGGTCAGCCAACCCCCCACCCCGGCCCAGGAAGGAAAGCTTTGTATTGAGGCAGACAGTTTTCAGACTGCAGGGTTATTTGGCTGTGACAGAAAGCAAGCAGCGGTGGGTATGTGGCACAGGGCCGCTTATGAGCTGGGTAGCCTGTGTGCGTCTGCTGTGCCGCCTCTGGGACCCCGGGGGGCCGGCAATAATAAAAGTGCAGGAATGTCATAAGGTGACACCACAGTTTAATTTATACGTTTGCATTATAATGCAAAACTAGGAATTTCCTTAATTATTAAAGTCCTTCTTCAGGACAGGGTCATAGTAAGATTTACATGTGATCAGACACAATGTCTAATGCATAACTGAATGTACCGCTTCCTATAGTCAGCAGTGGAAAGAGCAGCCCCATCTGATTTTCATACTTAAAAGTACGGACACCACACCCGAATGTTACTCAGGTCAAATGGAAATCATCCAGTAAAATTTAATAAAAATTAAAAGTAAAAATACCTGGTTTCAAAAGTACCTAAAGTACTAAAAACTAAAAAGTACTATACAGTGGTACCTCAGAACTAGAACTTAATCCTTTCAGAACTCCAGATCGAATCCTAAAAAGTTCAAGTTGTGATTGAATTTTTCCCATAAGAAATAATGGAAAACCAATTAATTGGTTCCTGGAGTTTTGTCGATATATGCTGCCTTGTCGAAAAATGCTACCGTAGTGCTAATCGATAGCCCTAACCCTAACTCTTACCCTAACCCTAACCCCCCAAAACCCCGTAAAACCCTTACCGTAACCCTAACCCCTGAAACCTAACCCTAATTCCAAAACGGTGGAACTGCACATGCGCAGAAAGGCTCCATAGCACGTCTTGATAGGTAGGATTTTATGACAGAACACCGGTCCCAAAAAATTACACCGAAATACGTTTTTTTTAAGCATTTAAACACAAAATTAACAGGATAAAACAAGAGCATATACTGTACTAAACGCATCTAAGCACATTTATCAAAACAGTAATTTTTAAAATAAATGTATCCAAACAATCTGTCCTGCCTCCATCGTCCGCTCCTTCCGCGTGCCACGCCCCCTCGTTGACCCCGCGTAGAATCCCTTTGTGATCAGCTGTTTCTGGTTGTTGTCATTAGTCCTCTGTATTTAGTCCGCATTTCAGTTTGTTTCCCCAGTCCGGTCATTGTATTGTCCGTCTGCGTTTTGCCTGCCTTACCTATAATTAAACCCTGTATTCCCCGATACCCTGACATCTGCTCCATGCCTCCGTTCAGTCCCGCTGAGCACGACAATATTATTATAATTAAATGTATTAATGGTTTATTATTAATTATATTAAAATAATTAATAATATCTTTATTTTTAAATGTATTTTATTATATAATAATTACTGTTACTGTCTATCATTGTCTAAATGTATTTTTACTGTCTAAATATATGTATTCAGCTAGTGTAAACATGCAGGATGCTATCACAGAAAATGCGAGACTGAGATTGAAGCTTTACCCTTTGTTTCCGCTGAGAGACGTGCAGCGTGACTCATTTCCCCGCGCGTATAAATTATCTTAGGTCGGCGTTCACGGTTTGACTTCTGAGTTCTAGCTAGGTAATTTTTTTTTCGAACTGGTTGGTTCGAATTTTAAGAAATTCGAGTTATAATGAGTTCGAGAACTGAGGTACCACTGTATATTTAAATCTATTGATCTTTCGTGAAGCAACCTATCCTTTAAAATTAACTCAAGACAGGGTTACAGTGCAGCACAAGAAGGAAAACTGAGTCGCATGTCTTGTTTTATTCAGAAAAGGCGCCGAGTTTGCTGGCGCAGATTAGCTGAATGTTTTTTTTTCTGTGGAAAATGAAAAATCGATATACGGACCAGACTTAATAAGGAAGTATAAATATTTCCTGGGCTGGTACTTTTAGACCTCTTATAAGTGGTTAATGAACCGACTAAAACCTTCCTCGTCTAATGTAGTCATTACCTTTATTTCAGGGGTTGTGTTGTTAGTTCTAGTGCTACTAAATTTGAATATTGAAAAAGTTTAAATATCCGACGGAAATTTCGGTATGTTAACCGTTATATCGTGCATCTCTACATATTGTTTGTTCCATCTTCATAAAGACAATATGTAGTGCATAATAATAATATATTGCTCAAGAATCGTGAGAGAAAAATAGCGATCTCAAAAAAAATCTCAATTCATATTTTACCCAGAATAGTGAGTCCATACTCGGTGCGCTGCATGCGATAGTACAGAACGTATCCGAGTAAAAGTCGTTATTTGACTCCAAAGTGTAGCTAAGTGAAAATAAAAGTTGCAAGTTAAGGCCACTTAAGTACAGTAACAAAGTATTTGAACTTCGTTTATTTACACCTCTGTCTGTAGTGAAGCGAGAATCATTAGCCAATAAGCCAGACAAACGTTAGTTCCACAGTAGCACCCTCTGTCGTGCTATGGAAGCACTACATTGCACGCCCCGTCTCAACTTCTCCGCTTCTGGCCAGTGTTGTTACTGGCGACAAAAAGAAAATACTATGAAACTAGGCGCCTTGTCAACGAGAATTTAAATTGTTAAATTGTGGGATACAATGTAGGTCTTTGGAGATATGAATGGGCTTCCTGTTTTTCCTTCAAACAGAAATACGTTCAACAGGACAACCTTCAAATGTGTTTTTTTTGTTCGTATACGTTTGGTAATCTAGCATTTTAATCTGTCTGTGACGTGTCAATTTGCTTTAAAATGAAATTCATATTAATCTAAGACAAATGAAATCAGCTGTTAGAAACATTTTACGTCTGCTCCAAAATAGCAGGGAGTCTCAAACTTGCCATGAAACGTTGCTAAAACAATTCGGCTAATGCCAGCCCTTATTTTAATTTTCGTCATTATTTTTCACTTGACTTTATTTTTAAATTAATTAAATTATCTTGATTTAGATATGAAAATAACAAAAAAAGACCAGTTATTAAACATGAGTAATTCTAAGAATGCGCCGACGAAATATGCTTTCGAGCATCCGATGCTCCCCAGTTTGTTTCACAGACTATTGCTATATAAGCAGGGGCGTCAGAAGCATTTTGAAAGTGGGGGGGGGACACCCTGGCATAAAACGAATATTTTATGTTAAATGTGGGGGGGGGGGGGCCAAAGGAATAATTATGAAATGTTTGTAAATTTATTATGTTCTTGTGATACCACAGCATTATTGTATACGAGATGTTGCGCTGAAGTATATTAATAAACCCCAGTTGTTTTTATTTAATTGATTGACACAGTTATCTATTCATTGTGGTTTCCCTACATTTTACCTAAAAGTCTGTCAGATGACATTTAAATAATCTCACATCCCAAATCAATGTGTATAAAAATGTAAAATCTCCAAGCTGCGGCAGTTAACACTTAGGGGCTGCCATTGTAATGTAGCATTGCACTGCTATTCAAACTGCACCGTGATCTTGCGCTTGCCCAGGCTTGTTTTTATTATAAAAACTGGGGAAAATACGAGCTGAAGGCAACATAGCGTTTAAAGTACGATTTAAGCAAGCCTCCGTGTGCATAGATTGTTTGTGTCCGTTGTTTCCTCAGCACAATCAATTAGCGGCTGGAAAAACAGGAATGCCGAGGTAGGAAAACAGCGCATCGCAGCGGGACTGTCCGGGTCTGGCTTCGAGTTAGGGCTAGGGTGGGCGATTCAGGGGCTCGCTGACGCTCTCAGGAGTGCTGTCTGTTTTTGTGGACTCAGAAGCTGTTATTTTAATATTAATATTATGTTCAATTGTGCAATTGTGAAGTTATAAGTGATTCTATAAAGTATTTAAAGAAGAACTAGGCTCGAGGCTTGTAACCTTTCCTGCACTTTGAAGCCTTACTGGCGTGATTAGAGGAGCCGGTAGGTCTGCTTGGAAGATGCGGGACTCCAGCCGGGCGGGCGAACGACCGACGGGGCCAAGTAAGCAGAGACGGGGCGGGGGTGAGAGGGGCTGATTGATGCGGGAGGGGGATTAGTCCTGGGAGGGGAAAGGGGTGTGGAGGGCTGAGAGTTTAAAAAGGCAGGCAGCTCAGCAGCGCAGACAGTCTCTCACTTGGTGTCGCTTGTTTTCTCTAGCTAAGGACATTCCTACCGGCGCTCATCAAGCCTCGTCTGATCCTGCTCATTCTGGCGATATAAACGGGACGTTCTGAACATTCAGGAGCTGCGTTTGGATTTGAATTTTTTTTTAATTAACATGGATCCCACCGCTTTGTACGGGGACATATCCTATGACGACTATGACGGCAACAACAGCGACTGTGATTACACTGAGTGGGAGCCCTCCTATTCGCTCATCCCTGTGCTCTACATGCTCATCTTCATCCTGGGGCTCTCTGGCAACGGCGTGGTCATTGTCACTGTCTGGAAGTCCAAGTTCAAGCGCCGGGCAGCCGACGTCTACATCGGCAACCTGGCCCTGGCCGACCTCACTTTTGTGGTCACGCTGCCACTGTGGGCGGTCTACACAGGCCTGGGCTATCACTGGCCTTTTGGTGTGGCTCTCTGCAAGGTCAGCAGCTACGTTGTTCTGGTAAACATGTACGCCAGCATCTTCTGCCTGACGTGCCTCAGTTTTGACCGCTACCTGGCCATCGTGCACTCGCTGTCCAGTGGCCGCCTACGCTCCCGCGCCACCATGCTGGCCTCCCTGGGCGGCATCTGGCTGCTGTCGGGCATCCTGGCGGTGCCCACGCTGCTGTTCCGCACCACTGTGGAGGAGAGCGAGTCCAACCGCACCATCTGTGCCATGGACTTCAGCCTGGTGACGCTGAACCGGCTGCACGACCCCATGTGGATTGCCGGGCTGAGCCTGTCGTCGTCGGCGCTGGGCTTCCTGTTGCCCTTCCTGGCGATGACTGTCTTTTACTGCTTCATCGGCTTCACTGTCACACGGCACTTCAACAACTTGCGCAAAGAGGACCAGAAGAAGCGGCGCCTGCTCAAGATCATCACCACCCTGGTGGTGGTGTTTGCCATCTGCTGGACACCCTTCCACGTGCTGAAGAGCCTGGATGCACTGTCCTACCTGAACCTGGCGCCCAGTGGCTGTGCCTTCCTGCGCTTCCTGCTGCTGGCGCACCCCTACGCCACCTGCCTGGCCTACGTCAACAGCTGCCTTAATCCCTTCCTGTACGCCTTCTTCGACCTGCGCTTCCGCTCACAGTGCCTGTGTCTGCTGAGCCTGAAGAAGGCTGTGCACGGCCACATGAGCTCCATCTCCTCCACCCTCAGCGCCCAGACGCAGAAGTCCGAGGTGCAGTCTCTGGCTACCAAGGTGTGACGGCCGCGGAATGCGGCCATGGGGCGCCTGCGTTCCCCACCACGCATTCCGGCTCGGTTGCGGACTCGAGCTGATGGACACCCTGCTGTGAAAAAAGTGTCTTAATTTGTTACTGGAGACAAAGAAAAAGTTGCTGTCGTCACAGTAAACTGAGCCGGAGGTGGCGCCGACCGGTCAAGCAACACGTCTCTTTTTAAAAAAGCCTGCTACAGCCTCCCCTGGGGGATGGACTCAGAAAGCTTAGCGTGAAGGGGGGTCACCCCTGCCCCCCCAGCCCCACCAGCAACGGGTGCCAGCTGGCTGAGCCCCTGCAGCTGCTGGTTTCCTCATGCACCTTCGGAGGTGAGCGGTCATTTCAACAGGACTGCGGGACTCCCCCTCCCGGTGTGGTGGGGGGGGGTCCACACGAGGGTGGGGGCGATATTCTGATTACACTGGAAAAGAAAAATTAAAAATGTACAGTATTTTCATACTTTCTCTTGGCTTTTTTTGTTCTTTTTAAGCACTTGTCTAAAGTTGCATAGAGTTGGGTAGTTTTTGTGTGGGGGGGTTGACTGTTTACCTGCTCTGGCTCAATGGTGTCGACCGAGGGGTGTTTGGCTGCAGGGGGGGTGAGTCAAGGAAGGTGCTACAGATTAATTAAATAGTTTGAAGAGGAGACGGGGGGGGGAGAGACAGATGGCAGCTGGCAAATGTTTTTGGGGGGTGGTTAGGGTGTGAAGTGGGGGGGGAAGTATCTGTGAAGAGGTGGCAGCATCATGGGGCAATGGGGTTGACGGGGTGGGGGGGGGGGTAATCAGCCTCACCTTACTAACTAACAGCTGTATGATAGAATTATGACGTTGTTTTTGTTTTTTATTATCAATTGTTTTATGAAATAAACATTGCTTTTTATCGCACGCCATTCCTCTTGTGTGTCTTCTTAGTGGATCCAGCTGTCCTGGTCCGTTATCCGTGTGATGGTTTGTCTGACAGCTACACGGATCCTGAGTGGGTAAAACATGCACATGGAGTGCCACACACAAACACGCCAGCATTCGATGGGGACTCCACACGGATCAGACTCTGTCGGCCAGACACTGGGCGGCAGCCAGCTTCCGAGCATGCCGGGCATCTCCAGGGTCAGGAGGCTTCTCAGCTGTGAGAGTGAGGCTCATGGCTCTGGACCCTGCTCATTGGGCTAATGGTCAGTGAGTTCTATAAAGGTCCTCCTGGTCCAGAAGGCCTGAGCAGGCAGCCACAGGCTGAGTGAGTCAGGGTCCGTGCAGCTCTTCACAGGGTCCGTGCAGCTCCTCAGGGTTCGTGCAGCTCCTCAGGGTCCGTGCAGCTCTTCACAGGGTCCTTGCAGCTCCTCAGGGTCCGTGCAGCTCTTCACAGGGTCCTTGCTGCTCCTCAGGGTCTGTGCAGCTCCTCAGGGTGCGTGTAGCTCCTCTCAGGGTCTGTGCAGTGTGTTCCTGTTGCAGTGCAACTGACGCCAGACTCCTAAAAGGGGTTTGATTTGCATGACAAAGCAAACACCTTCATGGAAGTGGCAAGATCACTGTGGCAGGCATCAGCTAGTTCCAGGCAGTGGCCTTCATGCTTCCCAGTGTTTATTCTGCTTCTTCACAGAAACAACAACTGAACAATAAAACAAACTGAAAATCCTAGTGCAAGGGCTTACCCTCATACCGTCTCAGGTTTAATTCAATACATTTGCAGCATAGTTGCCATCACTGAGTAATACTTCTAATTATGCCTCAGGAAGTTAATCTTGTTATATTGCCTAACTTAACTGGTATCCCAGAATGCACCACAATGGTAAGACAACCTGTCAGTGGGGTTTGGGGGGTGAGGGGTGGGGGTCACACATGGCAATGAAGGTTCACATTCCCCTCTACATGCTTGGGCGGGGTGGGTGTTGGGGGGGAGTGAAATTCGGACCGGTCTGGCTAGGTCCAGCAGTAACCCGGCAGTAGGTAAATGCCCAGGAACTCAATGAGAGCCCATTAGCATGGTGATTGGGGTGGGCCTTTTTGATCTGAGGGTAATGAGTTCTGTTAGATATAATCTTGGCAGAACAACTGGTGGTAGTGAAGTCGCAACAAAAGTCAATATTTGTCTCTGTTGAAAAACATCTGGGGGAGGGGAGGGGGACGATGGGGCTGGAAAACGATTAGTACTTAAAGGAAAGAAAATGCAAAAAAACATTGATGGAGAGTGGAACCTGAGGGTTACCTTAGGAACAGGGACCTCGTTTCCACCAACACGGAGCTGGGGCTGGTGCTGGTACTGGTGCTTGTGCTGGGCTGGTTCTCACTTGGTGCCTTTTGAGAACCAGACGGTATTTCCACCGAAATCAAAAAGAACAGTACAGAAATGTTACGTAGTAAAGTAAAGGTTAATCTGTATTTCATTTTTTTTTGGCTTTATTTTGCCAAACCAAAAAAAAGTTTCTGGAGTACGACTCCTTACTCTCTATTGCCTGTATCCTCTTTTGTCTCGGTATAGGCTCCCCCATCTGTGTGTCAGTTTGTTCTCGCTCCCTCTTGTACTGCTCTCTTTTTAAGGATTTTGCAGTAATGGTAAAAGCTTCGCCTCATGATTTCTTCGCCATTCAAAGGCCATGATATTTTATATGACCTCCGACATAGTTATACTTTTTTATTAATTCTAGCCAGCAGATCAATCATTTGTTCTTCTCAGTATAAAAAATCATGTAACCTTATTCCGCTAATTAGTTGGCAAGCTCCTTCACTGCCAGCACCACTGTTATTCGATTAAATAAATCGGCCATGGATTGAATTTTCCAGGTATGGGCGCCATAGCCTGTATCACTTTCACTGATGTTATGGTACCACATTCTGAGCCCAGCTTTTCTGCGGGAGGCTCTGTTGGGATGGGCGGCTCTGTCGGGTTAGGAGGCTCTGTCGGGATGGGTGGCTCTGTCGGGATAGGAGGCTCTGTCGGGATAGGAGGTTCTGTCGGGATAGGAGGCTCTGTCGGGATAGGAGGTTCTGTCGGGATGGGAGGTTCTGTCGGGGTGGGTGGTTCTGTTGGGACGGGAGGATCTGTGAGGATGAGAGGAACTGTCTGGATGGGAGGCTCTGTGTATCTTTAGTGCTGTGGGTAGTGGGGGCAGGCAGCTTAGATGGATTGTGGGGGAGGGAGAGGCATGGGAGGGTCACTCCCAATGTCCCAGTCAGTAGCGACAGAGGGCTATCCAGGCTATGGTTGTGAAAATAAACAGCAGCGGAAGGACTTAAGATTTTGTGTGTAGCAATGTCCCAGAAAAACTCTTAATTAAACTAACACTGCCAAGAGTTTGTTGCCAATTATTTCCAGTTTTCATTTGCATTTTGTCAGAATATGGAAAATCAGTCAGAGGAGAACGATGGGGGCGGGTGGGGGGGGATGACTTTTTACTGTGTCAAAACTCTCCACTTAGAGCCATTGATGTGACAAAGAAAACTTATAAAAGTGTCCCTTATAGGTGCTGCCTGCTGTTTCTCACCAGGGCCCCCGGCTGGCTGGGAGGCCCCTGGGAGAAGCTTTCATCCCACAGCAGCTGGAGGAAGTGGGCACATGATACAGGTCTGTGAGAGGGTGAGGGTTAGGGTTTGGCTTAAGGGTCACACATGGTCAGAGTCTCTTCTCTGTGTGACTGGTGGCAACTCACGGTTACTGTCACCGAAAGGACATCTTAAGAACATTCTGGTCTTGTGAATGACAGTCTGGCTAATCAGAGTTTGGCTCAGGTACCAGTCCCTCTTGGTGAGAGAGGCGGGGAGGGACAGAGAGAGAGGGGGGAGAGACAGACGAGGGAGAGTGAAAGAGAGCAAATGTAAAAATGTAAAGTTTTGATGGTGGTGGATTTTGAATGAGAAAGGAATCCATTAATTTTGAGTCACTGAATGCATTTGTATGAAAGCAATGAGAAGTGATTCACTGTTTACCCCAGATAAACTGATGTTATGGCAACTGTGTGAAGAGTTTCAAGAAGGCGAATTTAGTATTGCAGAATGTATCTTAGCAAATGAAAAAAACTGTAAATAACCCACCCTAGGCATCGTAGCAACAGGTCTAGTATAGACACTTACATTTAAAAGGGACAATGCATAAAAAGTGACTTTGTGGCAACTCGACATTATTCCAAATTTATCTATGGGAAATTTGTAACAGAACAAATGTAACCAAGACTCGCTGAATGGATACTTTGTTAAGTGTTACTTTTTTCTTTTTAAATTGTGTGATTCAGCAGTGGAATATTCCGCAGGGTGGGAAGGTGATAAATGCAACATGCAAAACTATGTATCACCTAGTATTTTGGCGGACTGACCGTTGAGTGACACAGATACAGCCGCACACAACTATAAATGCTCATGACAGCAGAGCCACTTGTGTAGGCCACGGCATGGGCTCGGTTAGTGACAATGTCAGTGCGGGCGCTGGTATCACACCCATTCCTGCCCCGCTGGCCCTCTACTGCAAACACACCTCCCCCCCAAATTAAACATCAAAGACGCTGGGGTGTCACCTTCAGATGCTGTGGCACCATTTTTAATTAGACCCTGTCACACCTGTGAGCCAGGACACAAAAGGCTTCTGGGCCAGGACTGGGGGGGTCTCAAGGGCTGATGGGAAGCAATTTGTTACCGTTTAGGTGGGGGGGGGGACTGCTGATAATTAAAAGGTTCTTATCTGGGGCTTAAGGTTTCCCACAGTGAAGGAATCCACAAGCTAAACAAGGGCCTGTTCTGCCTTATGGCGTTTTTCCACTGCCACCAAGAACCGAACTGTACCCGATGTATGCAAGCTGTACGTGGGCCATACCCAAGCTTTACCATTGCAAAGAATGTGAGCTGTACCCAAACCACACCTGAGCTGTATCTAAGCCGTACCTGAGCCATACCATTGCAAAGAATGCAAGCTATACCCAAGCCATACCTGAGCCGTACCATTGCAAAGAATGCAAGCTATACCTGAGCCATACCTGAGCCGTACCATTGCAAAGAATGCAAGCTATACCTGAGCNGCCGTACCATTGCAAAGAATGCAAGCTATACCTGAGCCATACCTGAGCCGTACCATTGCAAAGAATGCAAGCTATACCTGAGCCATACCTGAGCCAAACCATTGCAAAGTATGCAAGCTATACCTGAGCCATACCTGAGCCAAACCATTGCAAAGTATGTGATCCGTATCCAAGTCATAACTAAGCCGCACTTGAGCTGTACCCGAGCTGTACCCGTGCCGTACCATTGCAAAGCATGCGAGCTGTACCTAAGCTGACATGACCCTGCTTACTAGCAGGGTCAAAAGCGTGACCAAACTAAGCTTGTTGCATCACCACCATTTGATTAGGCAAAATGCACAGCGATACAAGTGTTCTATGCATGGAGTAACTGAAGGAAAAGGTGTATATTCTATATATAATTCATTACAAAGTATTGATGCATTCCCAATAACTTCCAACTGCCTATTTGTAAAAGTACTGAACAGCTGAAAAGAATGGATTCATAATGCAAACTTACGCAAGTGAATGCTAATTCTGTTAGTGTTTGATACTTGCATAATATGGCAATTCTTACAGACATGCTACCGGAAATTAGCACACAGTAAAAACAAGAATAAGTATTGCACACAATAAATCATGATGCACACCATGT